CGAACAATGTCAGATGTGGTTAAGGATTTTAATACAGACGAGCTTATCAATTATTTGAGGAGGAAGGACTTGAAACTCAATGAGGATGATATTAAAATTCTTCGTAAAGAAAAAATATCTGATCTTGCCTTCCTTGACACAACTAAAGAGGAGTTTCGAAGTTATAGCTTAAAGGCTGGTCCCATAACAACACTTGCAAAATTTATCGAAGGCCTCAGTCAGAAGTTACGAAATTATTCCTTGCTTAAAACTCTCGATAACTTAAAAGAAATATTGCGTAGAAATGGGGTCAATGGGGAAGATATAACAAACATCAAGCAGTTTAATCCTGGTGGATGATTACTCTATTAATTTTTCAGATTAGAGTATCACATATAATAACTTATTTTTCTCTGTAGTCTTTGAGGAGATTAGTGATAATGATAAAGCATTCAAACACTGTATGGAGGATATTATCTTAAAACTTTCGAACATAGAGACTATGACTGATGCTAACAAGGCTACGCGCTATGAATTTATTTCAGCTATATTACATGCGTCAATTGCTATCACCAAAATACTCACCTCTCAAGATATATTCATAGTTTTACAGAAAGATGTTTCTGGTGAAGATGCTACTAGCCGAGTAGACTATGCAATCAAAAGTCTAGAGAATCTTCTTTGCATCACTGAAGGAAAATCACGAAATATTAAGATTAGATATGCGCAGGTAGACCTACTATCCACATTTTCACTTTCTAATATATTAGAGATATTAATGATGGTTTATCTTTTAGAATCTAGCACAACTTGAAAGTGCATTTCAGATAAATAAAAAGAAACAGACTGCAGATCAAGCATTCAGGAATAACTATTTTAACTATATCTATGGTATTGTGACCACAGATATGGAGTGGCATTTTATCATATATACTCCTGATGGTATATACTCTACGAGTGAAAGTGAATATTAAATTAATTTCTTGAAGTCCGCCGTTAAAGAAATTCTGAGCTACTTCGAAATAATGTGAAAAGGGTAATAAGTATAATTGGGTTGTTGAAGGATCAGGTTAGTGTAGATAGTTTTCTATCTAGTAAGAGGACTAGGATCAAAAAAATTATCAAAAAATATGTGTATCGTAGGCTAGGTCTCGATCTTGTATTTATTTTCGCATGTAATAATAAAAAATTTCTTAGCAAAAGTGATCGGCATGAAGAATCTTCATGCGTATGTGATTTTTTTTTATTTTGAATGCTTATGTATAGTGTATAATTTTATAGATCATGTTAACAGAGCTTGAATTATTGAGACAGCGTATTACCAAGCTTGAGGCTGAGAATGCTGAAATACCTGATCTTAAAAGAAAGCTTTTAGAGTTCAATGCTGAGAGAGTTGATCTTAGAAGAAAGCTCTCAGTGTCTGATGTTGAAATAGCTGAACTTAAGCGCAGGAGTGTCGAGGTTTTAAGAGCGAATAGGAATATAATGAGAGGCGTGATGCTGAAATTGCCAAACTCAAGGCCATAATCAAAGAGTTGAAGAAAAATAATACTAAAGAGAATGCTGAGCTTAGAGATCGTATCATGAAAGTGAAACAGAAGTAGATGTTAAATGATAATACTCCCAATGATAATATATCTAACATTAACTCATTTAACTTTGCTTTAGTGCCTTCGGTCAATTCAGGTGCAGACCATCATAAAAAATCACCACAGGAGAAAGAGATAGATAAGAAAAGCGTTGGTGAAGATATTAGGTGATGCAATAAAGAAAAGAAAATTCAGTGTGAGTCAACCGTCCCTTCTGACTTATTATATGTTACAGAAACTTCTCTAAAAAATCATGATGAAAACAAAAGTAATACAAAAATTATAAACATTGTTCACAATCAAGAAAAGATTTCATTGGAAGACTCTGTGCAAAAAATGCCTGAAAGACTTAATGAGGATGTTTCCCAAAGAGAATCGGATTTAGGCTTAGTAACTGAAATTGTATGAGACTTATTACAAAAATTTCTGGTGGATGATTTCTAGAGGGAATTTATTAATACTAAATTTATTAATAGAGAGCATTCTAATTCTTCACCTGTCACAGAAGAGCTTGCCCGTTTATTTCATCAAGCGAGTATAACAAGAAAAAATTCGATTAAAGCTAAGCAGGAAGAGATTTCATCTTGGGATCGCTATTCTAAAAGATTCAAAGATAAGGTCATGAAGCTCAGATCCAAGGATAAAAATCTTAAAGATAAGACAGCAAGGTCCTAGATTTATAATGAAATGAAACCATACCTTTCAGACGTTTCTGATGAATATTTACGCAAGATAACAAGCAAAGTAAGGAAAATCAATAAGCTATTTGGATATGATTATGATCCTATAACTCTGAAAAAGATTAAAGATATAGGATGGTATATGGTTAATCGGGTTACCTATAGTGCTGACAGTATTTTCAGACTCACTAACCTTCAAATTCAATACATTATAGATCAAGTGAACTTAACTATCACTAATAAAACTGTGATTGATGTTCACGATCAGAGTCATGTGACTTTAAAAACGGTTAGCTTAGCTAACTATCAGATTAAGGCTAAGGTAAGTACATTGGCAAATATATTACTTTCACCTCAATCCAAAAGTCCACTTCATGACCGCTCCTATTTTCGCAACAAAATGTTAGACCAATATCCTACTTTATATAGAGAATTTAGTAGTGAAAATTTTGATTATTATGGCATTACTGATGAGACATCATGCCCATTATGCAGTTTAGATCATGATGACGAGGAAAGTATAGAAGGTATGTATAAATCCGGATCTTACTTTATTAAATGTAAACAGCGCGAAATTGAGATAACTGCATAGTCTTATTACCTCTTTCTTATATCATAGATACTTTGAAAGATGATCCCGCCCTTTGGGCCTTTAACTATTTTTTGGAAATATGATAAAAGATATTAAACAGCTTTCTATCTGGGAATTTTAATCTTTTTTTGAACTAAAGATTTAAATTGATCTGTGATCATAGAAAAAAGGAAGCATGAGCGAATCCAATAAAATATTAACTCCCAAATACCTGAATTGGCATGCCAAATTAACTGGGTTACCAAGTGTTTTGACAGATAGGATTCGGTTCAGCTTATATAAAAAATATAAAAAAGAAACTGGGCATGAGCTATGGCAATTATCAGAAGATCGCCTTCTCATAAATTCGAAGCCAGAAAACAAAGTATCCTATTTATCTTCTTCTGAGCAATGTGAAGAAGAAGGGTCTATCATTTTCGAAGCCAGACCCACTCCAGAATTAATTATCAAATCCGTCTTAGAGCACTTCCCATACTTGAAATTCCGAAATAGTTTTAGAGGGATTGATAATTATAATTTTGCATCACCTCAGCCGTGAAGCTCACCATATCCTATTTGTGATGGAAAACATGGAATTACGGATTACATGGCGAATGGTATGGAACAGAATATTGTTTTACTTGCTTCACTTCAAGCAATAAATTCAAATTCGCGATCGTAGCATAGGCCAGTCATGTGAGATCAATCATCTGAAAAAATGCATAATACGATATCTAGATATTTTTTTTCCAAATAAGTAAGTGATGCAACATTCACGACGTACTGCAGTATGAAAGAGTGCCGGCAAAAAAAAATACTGGAGAAGAAACTTCTGGACAAGATATTATGCAGTTAAGGTGAGTTTACTTTCAGTTATATTGGGTATTTGCAAGGAAGCAACAAGCTAATAGACAATTTTTTCATTAGGATTTTGAGAATAACATTAGCATCACAGAAGGGGAAGCGGTATAATGCTTCAATTTTTTATCATTTTAAATAGCTAGTTGAAGTAGCATCATGTAGCAGTCTTTGATTTGTATTATGTATTTTTTTCTCGTATGATCAATAAAGCAAAGATGCAATTAATTTACAAAATTCAGATATACAATGGAGGGATTGTGGAAGCGTGTATGCTAATATATTTTTTCAATCAAGTTTTATTGTAACGAAATCATTGATCTAGAACTTAATAAATGCGCACAGTATAGACGTCACATGTATCACGGGAACAAGTAGTTGCGCAAAATAATTTATTCTCAAACTTTCTCGCATATTCTCAAAATTCTTAGGTATATTATTATTAAAAAAGGGGCCCTTGATGATCTTTACATATGGATAGTGTTAAATTAAGGAGAGGAGGTTGATCAGATTTTCGTGATGCGATCATATTAACGTAATTTACCCCAAAAGCGTATTCCAAAATCGATCCTGGAAATTATATAAAAAGGTGAAGTCTTAGTTAGTAAACTCTTTTATCCGCCTTGTGCAAGTAAAACAAAAAAATAACAAACGAAACTAATCAAATTTACCGTTATATTCATCATTAATATCCACAATCAATCAAACGAGTATATTCCGCAAAATAATAATAAGGTGGGTTTGATTATTGATTGGCTAGATTCCGGAAGAACGTCATCACGATATTAATCGATTTTCCCACCTATATAGATGCTCAAAAATAAAACGGACATATTACCTTTCTTGATCCTTTTAATATTCGTTGAGAAAATCGGGATCGCTGACACGCGTCTAATCAAATTGCTGTGGCTTAGTATCCTGATTCTCTGAAGTCTGGCGCAGTATATCGAATAAAATTTTAATCATAAAAATAATTCCCCGTGATGGGTATTATCTAATCTAATCGGCATCATCAGCGCAGTAAAATTGTGACTTTGCCTTGATTCTCATCACATGTCTTATATTAAACATCTGGCGCAGTAAATCAAGCAACAATCTTTCGATCCAAAAAACATTAAGCAATAATTTTCTCAAATATTTGGCGGAGTGGAATGCTACAAAAATGAAATATCATGGTAAGGATGAAATGAAGTATAACATTTATTTTTTATCAAAAATTATGGGCATATACTTATTTTTATTCTCCGGTTCTATAGGTTCGAAATTAATATATATTACAAGTTATGTATTTTTTCTTTGAGTATTTTCTTTCTTATGTTGGCAATGGATGGGTCTAAGGAGCGACAGTTCTTTGGATGGGGTTTAGTCCTGCGTTCAACCACCCAACACCCTGATTTTGTTCAGGAGTGCATGAGTTTTGTCTCGGGAGGTTTTATCCTCGTAATCATGAGTTACGCTTACGGTTTAACGTTTAATACTTTTTCCCTTAGCTCTTACTAATACTAAATCTTGTATCGTTAATAGGAGGAAAAACAATCGAATTTAGTTACCAAATTCTGGTCAGCACAACAACGGAAATTTGTAGCCATAACTGAACGCTCGGTTTTGTTGGTATGGAAGTAGCTGATTTGTCAATCTAACAGGAAATAATTATGGCATGATGGAAATACTAACTTTTGTTCATATTTTTTCGTTGTTGCAGGAGGAACTTACTACCTCCACCATACGCTCGACTCTCCAACAAGATAAACAAGTACATTTGGTGCGGGAGAAGGTTACGGGACGCCTAGAAATTATGGAAGATGATTGTTCGTACAAACGTCAAGAAGAGGTATATAACAAAATAAACTGTGACCTGTTTATCATGAACTCCTCTCACTACTATTTGTTGCGCGAACAGGCCAAAACTATCAGCGATGATACGGAGGACGATGATCCATTCATAAACAATAATAGAGCCGAAGCATCATCAGGTTCACATACGCCTCCTCATCAAATTGTTACAAATGGAAACATCCAAGAAATATCGATCAATGAAAATATATTAATAATGTCCGCTAAAAACTTAGCGAGACTTGATGAATCCAAGGTATTTGATTGAAGATATTATTTTAACGGATTTTTTTTTGGCGTATATCGTAAATACTCAATCTTTTGCATTGAGCAGTATCTCGGCGAATTTATTCCACATTTTATAAAATATAAGGAATTAGAAAAAAATAATACATTTTCGTGAGTGTTTGAACTACTTTAAGATGTATCCTATAATGTCATAGTTAATATCATCTCAATTTATAGTTGTGCTAACGATGATGTAATGGATATTCGAGGAGAAAGTGGGTTTGCAAAATTTTTATCAATTGATGAGTTTATAACATTACTATCAAAAAAAACCAAAGAGAGAGGCCAAATTACCAGAAGATTGGCATAATACAGTTGAAGACTATTATAAGGTATAATATCATATAGTCTGTGTTTATCATTACATCAGTTGTTATTGATTATATTACTTTATAGGAGACAACAAAAAGCGGATCAAAAAAGAGTATAACTGATTGGATTCGCGTTACAGAAGAGCTAAATGTTTTAAAAGAAGAAGATAACAAAGAGCTAGTAAAATTAAAAAAATATTTAAATCGAGTTATGCTTCCATTGTAAGTATTGAATATCAAGGTTTTATTATTTATTACCTCTTATAACTAATACTATATATTGCAGGGTCGAATCATTTACAAAGCCAATTCCAGATATAAATGCCTCAGACACCAGCGAACATCATTATTGGTCAGAATTTGGCCATCGTTTTTTTTCGAAAGCGTTACAAGACTTTGTTGGTCTTGATTGGAGGGCGTAAGTGTTGAATTTAATTGGTCGATCTTATTATTTCAATTATATAATTGAGTCTACTTTTTTTATTCTTAGCATGGAAGTCCCTGTAATGGCTTCCAAATATAGAAAAAATTACGGGCATAATCACGCTACAGACAAAATAGTTGATGGAAAATATGCAGACTTGCTGGCAAGGATGTGGACAAATAACGAAGAAATTTTTATTGGAGAACAAGCCGGGTCACCTAGTCAACCTGACCTCACAAAGTTAGCGACGGATTCTTTTAAATTATATCGGGAAATGCGGGATTGTCTGAATGTTAGAATCTTAAAGGCTATGGGGAAAGAGGACATAAATTATAATAATCGTGTAGTCTTTGGAATTTTAGGTTACCTTTTCGAAATTACAATGCTTATAATATAGAAAGACGGAGTGTACGTATATGAGGAATTTGGAAGTTTACATATTGCTTCTAATCTGGATCAAATTCCTATGATGAAAACAGATATGTTAAAATTACTGGAATTTATGGTAAGTTTTATTTTTATAAACATCTTTAGTCATGATATATTCTAAATTAATTCTGTTATAGATGATCATTAAAACAGAAGTAGAAAATACTATGACAACAAAATATAAGGGTGATACAATACAGATTTTGAAGAGAAAATTTAATGACCTTATCTCAACAAAGTCATCACCAACGAAGGTCCCAAAAGTTAAGAAGTGACAGTGGATAAATCAGCAATTTTATTCCTGTTCGGTTTCGTATGACTTTTAATATCAAATGATTTTTAGTGTATTGCATTTTGCCATTGCGCCCTTGTAACAAGCAGAGTGCTATAATATAACCAATCATATATTGTAATAAAATTCTTTTTTGTTCACATGTGTAGTGAGTGTGTAATCGCTAGAGTTCCGGACGAGTCGAGTTAACTCACGAGTCAGATAAGTTGAGTCGAGTTCAAATCAAGTCGAGTTGGTGTTTTTTTGACTCGATGATTTGCGAGTCAAGCCAAATTCGAGTCGAGT